TCCTTTCTCCAACTCTACCTTACCACCACATTACTAAAACCTATCTGGCAGTTTCTTTTACTTAGTTCATCTTGTCCAGCTATCAAGAAATTATAAGTTATACTAAAAGGCAAAAAGCACAGTTTGAAGAGACAGAGAAAGCATCAGAACCAGATATTTCAGGAATGCTGAAATTATCAGTAAGAGAATTTAAGCAACCATAATTAATATGGTAAGAGTTGTAATAGGTAAAGTAGACAGCATGTAAGAATGGATGCACAATATAAGCAAAGAGCTGGAAATCTGAACGAACAAACGAAAGGAAATGCTAGAGACAATCCTAAGGAAAAAAAAATTTAAAGCTGGAGGCATTACATTATCTGACTTCAAACTATACTACAAGGCTACAGTAATCAAAGCAGCACCAAAACAGAGATATAGACCAATGGAACAGAACAGAGGCCTCAGAAATAATGCCACACATCCACAACCATCTGACCTTTGACAAATCTGACAAAAATAAACAATGGGAAAGGATTCCCTATTAAATAAATGGTGTTGAGAAAACTGGCTAGCCATATGCAGGAAGCTGAAACTGGATCCCTTCCTTATACCTTATACAAAAATTAACTTGAGATAGATTAAAGATTTAAACGTAAGACCTAACACCACAAAAACCCTAGGAGAATATCTAGGCAATACCATTCAGGTCATAGGCATGGGCAAGCACTTCATGACTAAAACACCAAAAGCAATGGCAACGAAAGCCAAAATTGACAAATGGAATCTAATTAAACTAAAGAGCTTCTTCACAGCAAAAGAAACTATCATTAGAATGAACAGCAACCAACAGAATGGGAAAAAATTTTTGCAATCTACCAATCTGACAAAGGGCTAATATCCAGAATCTACAAAGAACTTAAACAAATTTATGAGAAATAACAAACAACCCCATCAAAAAGTGGGCAAAGAATATGAACAGACACTTCTCAAAAGAAGATATTTATGCAGCCCACAAACATATGAAAAAAAGTTCATCATCACTGGTCATTAGAGAAATGCCAATCAAAACTACATACCATCTCGCACCAGTTAGAATGGCGATCATGAAAAAATCAGGAGACAACAGATGCTGGAGTTGATGAAATAGGAATGCTTTTACATTGTTGGTGGGAGTGTAAATTAATTCAACCATTGTGGAAGACGGTGTGGTGATTTCTAAAGGATCTAGAACTAGAAATACCATTTGACCCAGCAATCCCCTTACTGGGTATATACCCAAAGTATTGTAAATCATTCTATTATAAAGATACATGCACACATATATTTACTGCACCACTGTTCACAATAGCAAAGACTTGGAACCAACCCAAATGCCCATCAATGATAGACTGGGTAAAGAAAATGTAGCAAATATACACCACGGAATACTATGCAGCCATAAAAAGGATGAATTCATGTCCTTTGCAGGGACATGCATGAAGCTGGAAACAATCCTTCTCAGCAAACTGACAGAAGAACATAAAACCAAACACCACATGTTCTCACTCATAAGTGGATGTTGAACAATGAGAACACATGGACACAGGGAGGAGAACATCACACACTGTGGCCTCTCAGGGGGTGGGGAGCTAGGGAAGGTAGAGCAGAGTTGTGGGGGGCTAGGGGAGGTATAGCATTAGGAGAAATACCTAATGTAGATGACAGGGTGATGGATAGAGCAAACCATGATGGCAAGTGTATACCTACATAACAAACCTGCAGTCTCTGCACATGTACCTCAGAACTTAAAGTATAATTTTACAAAATGCAGTCTGGGCACAGTGGCACATGTCCATAATCCCAGCACTTTGGGATGCCTAGGCAGGCAGATCACAAGAGGTCAGAATTTCAGACCAATGTGGCCAACAGGGTGAAACCCCGTCTCTACTAAAAATTTTAAAAAATTAGCCAGGCATGGTGGCAGGCACATGAAATCCCAGCTACTAGGGAAGCTGAGGCAGGAGAATCACTTGAACCTAGGAGGTGGAGATTGCAGTAAGCCAAGATCGTGCCACTGCATTCCAGCCTGGATGACAGAGTGAGACTCCTTCTCAAAAAAAAAAAAAAAATTTAATTTAAATTAAATAAAAAATAAACACAATGTAATAGAAATGAAGAATGCTTTTGATGGGTAATATAGTTTGGATATGTGTCTCCTCCAAGTCTCATGTTGAAGTTCTCCCCAATCTTGGAGTTGTGGCCTATTTGGAGGTGTTTGGTTCATGGATGCTGATATCTCATGAAGGGTTTGGTGCCACCTTCATGGTAATCAGTGTGATTTTAATCTATTAGTTTATGCAAGAGCTGGTTGATTTACAAGAGTCTGGCATCTGACTTGCTCTTTCTCTCCCCGTGTGACACATCAGCTCCCCTTCCCTTCCACCATGAGTAAAATTTTCCTGAGGCTTCACTAGAGGCAGGTGTTGGTACCATGCCTCTTGTAGAGCTGATAGAACCATGAGCCAAATGAGCCTCTTTTTCCCTTATAGATTACCCAGTCTCAGGTATTCCTTTATAGCAAATCATAATGGACTAACACAATGAGCTTTTTAAGTAAATTCCATATGGTTAAATAAAACTCTCTGAGCTTGAAGATATATCAAAAGAAGCCTCAAAAGCTGAAATGCAAAAAGAAGAAAGACTGAAAAATGAAGAACAGACTATCCAAGAACTATGGGACAACTATAAAAGGTGTAAAATATCATGTATATTGGAAATACCAGAGGGGAAGCAAAAAAGCAAGAAACAGAAGAAATATTTGAAAAAATAATGACTAAGAATTTCCCCAAATTAATGTCATACATCAAACCACAGATCCAGGAATCTTACAGAACTCCATGCAGTCCAAATGTTTTACATTGTTGTTTTACAAACAAATAAACAAAAAATAAACCAAAAACAAAACAAAAAACTATATTTGGGCATACTATTTTCAAACTATAAATCAAAATTAAGGAAAAAATTCTGGAAAAAACCCAGAAAGGTAAAGAAGTCTTACCTAGAGAGAAGAAAAGATGAGAATTACATGCAATTTGTTCATAGAATCATGCAAGTGAGAAGACAGTGGAATGAAATATTTAAAGTGTTCAGAAAGAAAATAAAACCACTAACATATTTCATAAACTACAAGATTGTCCTTTGAAAGTGAGGGAGAAATAAAGACTTCTCCAACAAAAAAATATTGAAGGAAATTTTTTTTACAGTAGACCTACCTTGCAAAAAACCTTAAAAAATTTTTTACAGAGAAGGAAAGAAATACAGGTAAGAAATGCAGAGGTACATAAAGTAAGAAAGAACATTCAAGAAGGAATAAGTTAATATAAAATAAAAACTTTCATTTTTTTCTCATTCCTAATTGACAGATAACAGTTTGCTCAAAATAATAGCAATAACATATTAAATTTTGTATGATTATATTTATATCTTGTGTGTGCATATTCTTATTTAAGTGTGCATATAATAAAATGAATAACAGTGGAGATATGAGGGACAGGAAAAGGGAATTAGTATTATTTGGTTATTATCATCTTATTGAAAAGTGGGTTGCATTACTTCTAAATGTATATTGTAATCTCTAGGGCAACCATGGGGAAAAAAATCTAAGATTGGAAATAAAAGAGTTTTTAAGGAAAAAGGACAAGAAAATCATATAACATGCTCAATTAAAACAACAGTATGCAGAAAAACAGTGTGTGACAAAAATAGAAACAAAGAGCATGAGCAACAAATAAACAGTAACAAATATGGTATATAGTAATCTAAGTATATCAATAATCACTTTGAATGTCAGTAGTCTAAATGTACCAATTATAAGACAGAGATTGTCCAAGTAGATCAAAACAGACATATATATATTTATTTACAAGAAATCCCTTGTAAATATAAAGACACTCATAGATTTAAAGTTAAGGGGTAGAGGAACATATACTATGCTAACACAAGTCAAAGAAAGAAGGGGTAGCTATATTAAATTCAGGCAGAACAGAGTTCAAAGCAAAAAAAAAGTTATCAGAGAGAAATGATATGTAATTATATGTAATGATAATGGGGTCAGTTTTTCAAGAAGACATCAAAAGTCAACACCCCTCTATCATACAGGCAGAAAATCATTAGGAACATAGCTGAAGTAAAAAATATCATCAGTCAAATGGATATAATCAACCTCTATATATTCCCTCATCCAACAACAGTACAATATACATTTTTCTCAAACTCACATGGAATATTCACCAAGATAGAGTGAATTGTGGGCCATAAAACATATCTTATCAAATTAAAAATATAGAAACCATGCAAGGTCTGCTCTGAGACCTCAGTGAAATTAAAGTAGAAATCAACAAGTGAAAGATACTCAGAATAAAACCCAGGTATGTGGGGATTAAACAACACACTTTGAAATTATACATGAGGCAAAGAAGAAATATCAAGATAAATTTAAAAATATTTTGAGCTAAAATAAATAAACACACAACCCACTAAAATGTGTGGTATGCAGTGAAAGCAATGCTTAGAGGAAAGTTTATAGCATGAAATGTCCATACTAGCAAAAAAGAAAGATCTAAAACCTATATTCTTAGCCTCTGATTTAGAAAACTAGAAGAAAACACAAATTAAATTGAAAAGATTCAGAAGAAAAGAAATAATAAAAATTAGAAAATAAATCAAAGGAATTGAAAATGAGAAATTAACATGGGAAATCAATAAAACCAAAACTGTTTCTTTGAATATATAAATAGCATTATTAAATCTCCATCCTTGCTAACTATGAATAAAAGAAAGGAAGTAAATTATTAATATCACAAATGAAAGAGGAGGTATTCTTTCAGATCTCATGGACATTAAAAAATTAAAAAGGAATACCAGAAGCAGCTATATGCCCCAAAATTTGATTATTTGGATGAAATGAACCAATTCTTCAAAAGAGACAATCTGCTGAAATTCACACAGAAAGAAATAGACAATCTGGACATGACAATTGATACATTTTTGAATATAAGTCCCTGTAAAATCTCATATTAAAATGTCATCCCCAGTGTTGGAGGTGGGGCCTGGTGGGAGGTGTTTGGTTCATGGGGTCAGATCCCTCATGGCTTGGCACCATCCTTGAGATAGTGGGTGAGTTCTCATGAGATCTGCTTATTTAAGTACATTGCACCTTCCCACCCTCTCTCAATCTTACTGTACTCTACCTTGTGACACGTCTGCTACTGCTTTACTTTCCATCATGAGTAGAAGCTTCCTGAGGCTTCATGGGAGGCCAAACACACTCTAGCACCATGATTTCTTTACATCCTGCAGAAACATGGTCCAATTAAAACTACTTTTAATAAATTACCCAGTCTCAGGTATTTCTTCATAGGAACACAAAAATGACCTAACACAGAAAATTGGTACCAGGAGTGGGGCTTAACTACAAAGATACCTGAAAATGTGGAAGTGACTTTGCAGTTGGTAACAGGAAGAAGTTAGAAAAATTTGGAGGACTTGGAAGAAAATAGGAAGTTGAGGGAAATTTTGGAACTTCTTAGAGACTGGTAAAATGATTGTGACCCAATACTGACAGTGATATGGACAGTGAAATCCAGTCTGATAAGGCCTCAGATAGAAATGAGAGATTTATTGGGAAATGGGGCAAAGGTCACCCTTGTTATACCTTAGAAAAGAACTTGACTGTATTGTGTACATGCTATAGAGATCCATGAAAGTCTGAAATCCAGAGTTATGATTTAGGAAAACTGGTGGAAGAAACTTCTAAGCAGGAAAGGGTTCAAGATGTGACCTGGTTGCCTCTAACAGCCTTGGCTCAGATGTGAGAGCAAAGAAATGACTTAAAGTTGGAAGATATATTTAAAAAAGAAGCAAAACATAAAAGTTTGGAAAGTTTTTAGCCTAATGATGTGATAGAAAAGAAAATTCTGTTTTCAGGGGAGAAATTGAAGCATGCTGTGGAGCAACCACTTCTCTTTAATTCAAAAGAGAAAACAGTTGTTAGAGAAAACACATAACTAAAAAGGAGCCAAGTGCTAATAGCCAAGACAATGGGAAAAAGGACTTCAAGGCATTTTAGAGCTCTTCAAAGCAGCCCCTCCTATCACAGGCCCAAAGGCCCAGGAAGACTAAATAATTTTGAGGGCCTGGCCCTGGGCACCACTATCCTGCACCATCTGTAGAGGCTGCTCCTTGCATCATAGCTGCTTGCACTCTAGCTTTGGTTCAAAGTGCCTCAGATACTGGTGAGGCCACCTCTTTGAAAAGTTCAAGCTACCATAAACCATGACAGCTACCACGTGGTGGTAGGCCTAAGACAAGCATAGTGCAAGAGTGAAGAAGGCTTGGCAACCTCTGCCTAGATTTCAAAGAATGTATAAGGAGGCCTGGGTGCCCAGGTAGAAACCTGTAACAGGGATAGAGCCCTCACAGGGAACTTTTACTAGTGCACTGCAGAGGGGAAATGTGGGGTTGGAGCCCTACATAGGAGACCTTACCAGGGCACTCCCTAGTAAAGATGTGAGAGAGGGGCCGCTGTCTTCCAGAATCCAGAATGGTAGATCCACTGGCAGCTTGCACTGTGTCTGGAAAAGCTGCAGGCAATCAATTACAGACTGTGATAGCAGCCCTAGGGGCTGAAACGTACAAAGCTACAGGAGTGGAGCTTCCCAAGGCCTGGGGTGCAAATTGCTTGCACCAGTATGCCCAGGATGTGGGACATGGTGTCAATGAAGATTATTTTGGAGCCTTAAAATGTAATGACTGCCTTGCTGGATTTCATACTTGCTTGTCCCCTGCAGCCCACATCTTTTGGCCTATTTCTCCATTTTGGGATGGGTAGGTTTACCTAATTCCTGTACCTCCATTGTATCTTGAGAGTAAATAATTTGTTTTTATTTTATAAGCTTAGTGGAAGGAACCTATTTTCAAATGAGACTTTGGACTTTGGATATGAGACATTTAATGGAGCTGATGCTAGAATGAGTTAAGACTTTGGGTAACGTTAGCATGGTGTCATTGTATTTTGTAATATGAGAAGCACATGGGATTTTGGAGGGCAGAGACAGAATGATTTACTTTAAAAATGTGAACCCACAAAATTTCATGTTGAATTGTAATTCTCAATGTTGAATGTGGGGCAGGGTGGTATTTGGGTCATGGGAGTGGATTACTCATGGCCCAGTACCATCTTTTCTTTTAAATTTTTAATTTAATTTTATCATAGGACCCAGTGTCTATTTCTCCACTCTGTGTCCCTATGTTCTTATCATTTACCCCCCACTTAATAAGTGAGAATGTGCAGTATTTGGTTTTTTGTTTCATCCTCGGTTTGTTAAAGACAATGTCCACTATCTCCATCCATGTTCCTGAAAAGGATATAATCTCATTCTTTTTATTGCTGCATAGTTTTCCATGGTGTATATGTACCGGATTTTCTTTATCCAATCTGCCATTGATGAACATTTAGTTTCATTCCATATTTTTGCTATTGTGAATAGTGTTGTAATAGTCACAATATTACAACATTATTACAATACTATAAAACTCACTATTATGAATAGCGTGAACAGTATTGTGAATGTTGTAATGAACATATGCATGTATGTGTCTTTATGGTAGAATGGTTTATATTCCTTCAGGTATATTCCTAGTAATGAGATTGCTGGGTTGAATGATAGTTCTTTTTTTAGGTCTTTGAGAAATCTCCACACTGTCTTCCATATGTTCGAATTAATTTACACTCTTCCCAACAACATATAAGTGCTCCATTTTCTCCACACTGCCATCAGCATCTCTTATTTTACACTTTTTATAATAGCCATTCTGACTGGTATGAGATGGTATCTCATTGTGGTTTTGATTTGTATTTTTCTAATGATCAGAGATATTGAGCATTTTTCATATGCTTGTTGATTGCATGTATGTCTTCTTTTGAAAGGGGTTTGTTCACATTCTTGCCTACTTTTTACTGTGATTGTTTGTCTTTTCCCATAAATGTGTTTAAATTACTTATAGATGATAGATATTAGACTTTGTTAGGTGCATAGTTTACAAGTATTTTCTCCCATTCTGTAGGTTGTAAGCTTACTCTATTGATATTAACTTTTTTTCTGTGCATAAGCTCTTTAGTTTAATTAAATTCCTGTTTTTTTTTTTGTTTGTTTTGCTGTCGTTGTGATTGCTTTTGGCATCTTTGTCATGAAACCTTGGCTCCTTCCTCTGTCTAGAATAGTATTGCCTAGATTGTCTTCCAGAGTTTTTATAGTTTTGGATTTTACATTTATGTCTTTAATCTGTCTTGAGTTGATTTTTGCATGTGGTATAAGGAAAGAGTCCTGTTTCTGACTTCTGTGTGTGGCTACTCACTTATCCCAGCACCATTTATTGAATAGGGTATCTTTGCTTGTTTTTGTCAACTTTGCCAAAGATTAGACAGTTGTAGGTTTGTGGTCTTATTTCTTACCTCTCTATTCTGTTTCATGGATCTATGTGTCTGTTTGTGTACCAGTGCCATGCTTTTTTTTTGGTTACTGTAGTCCTGTCATATAGTTTGAAGTTGGGTAGTATGAGTTTGAGTAGTGTGATGTCTTCAGTATTATTTTTTATTTTTTTCTTGGAATTGCCTTGGCTATTCAAACTCTTGTTTTGCTTTGGTTTTAAGTCATGAATTTTAAAATAGCTTTTATTTTAGTTCTGTGAAGAATGTCATTGGTAGTTTGATAGGAGTAGCATTACATCTATAAATTGCCTTGGGCAGTGTCATCATTTAATGATATTGATTCTTCCTATCTATGAGCATTTCTCATTATAGAGAACTCTCATCTCCTTAGTTAGCTGTTTTCTAACTTTTTTTTTCTTTTTGTGGCAATGCTGAATGGGATTGTGTTTCTTTTTGGCTCTCTGATTTCTTGTGGTTGGTGGATAAAAAAGCTAATGATTTTTCAACATTTATTCTGCATTCTGAATGTTTGCTGAAGTTGCTTTTCTGCTAAAGGAAGTTTTGGGCTGAGACTACAAAGTTTTCTAGAATCATTTCATCTGCAAACAGGGATAGTTTGATTTCCTCTCTTCCTATTTGTATGCCCTTTATCTTTCTCTTTCCTGTAAATTAATAATTTATATGCTTCCAAAAAAAAGCACTAGGCCAAGATAGGTTGACTGACGGATTCTAACAAACACTAAAGGAGGAAATTATGCTAATTCTTCACAAGTTATTTCACACAATAGAAGCAGAAGGAATACTTTCTAACTAATTCTATAAGACTAACGTCATCCTAATACCAAAACAAGAGAAATATATTTTACCAGAATAAAAAACTATACACCAATAAATTTCAGAAGCATACAAACAAAACTCCTAAACAAAATATTACTATATTGAAACTCACAACATATGAAAAGAATTGTACACCATGAATGGTGTGCAAGGCTGGTTCAACATTAGAAAATCAGTTAATGTAAGCCATCACATTAGTAAGCTAAAGAAGAAAAATTATGATTGTATCTATAGATGCACAAAATGTGCTTGATGATATCTAAACCCATTCATAATGAAAACACTCAGCAACCCAGGAATAAAAGGGAACTTTCTAACTTGGTAAAGAATATCTACAAGAAACTTAGTGCTAACATCATTAACTGGAAGAAATTAGAAACTTATTCCCTAAGGTTAGGAACAAGCAAAAGACACCCCCTCTCACTACTTGTTGACAACACTATACTATAAGTCTTAGCTCATGCAATGACAAGAAAAGGAAGTTAAAAGTATGCTGATTGGGAAGGAAGAAATAAAACTGTCTTTGTCTACAGGTGACATTATCATCTATGGAAAAATCTAAAAGAATCAACAACGAAAACTAAAACTAATAAGCGATTATACAAGGTTTCAGGATAAGGTTAATATGCAAAAGTAAATATCAGCAATGAACAAGTGGAATTTGAAATTTAAAACATAAAAACATTTACATTTGCATATCAGACTATAAAATACTTTTGGGTTTGGTGACCTATACCTGTAGTCTTAGCTACTTGGGAGGCTGAAATGGGAGGATCTCTTGGAGACAGAAGCTCAGGGCCAGATTGCATTATAATGGCATCTGTGAATTACCACTGCACTCCAACCTGGGCAACACAGTGAAATACCAACTCTTAAAATAACACTAAATGCAATCCATGAAATACTTAGGTATAAATCTAGCAATATAAGTGCAAGAACTATATGAAAAAAAGTACAAAACTCTGATGAAAGAAATAAAAAAAATTCCGTCTCTACTAAAAATACAAAAAATTAGCTGGGCATGGTG